AGATGCTGACTCTTTTATATCCTTCTTATTAAAAAAAAAAAGGATTTAAGTCGGAGCCACGTTAGCCAAGATAGATGGGAACCTATTTTCTTTACTATGTAGTGTCTAATTATTGTAGAAGTCTCCTATTCTGTTGCCACTGAAATCTTTCCAAGGCTTCAATTGAGTTGATCTATCTTGATTATAAAATACTGAATATACCAGTAAAGGTGTTAGCCTTCTATCAAAGCTGCATATCTTTTTTTCCAAACCTGAAATGCAGCTTTTGAGAACATAGAATTTATATTACCTATTTTTATAAATTATTTTGTGAAAAAAAATCTGGCTTATAGATTTGTGTCCTGTATATTTTCTAATTATCTATTGTCTTGTTGGATCTTTCAGTGTGAAAGAATAATATATCCCAAATATGCTGCCAGATAATATAATTTACAAAATGGAATTTCCCACCCTCCTTTTTTCTGAGGTCTATACTGTATATGATCTTTTCTTTTTTTTTTAGTACTGAAATAAAAAGTTTGATTTTTCTTTGCCATTATGTTAATATTTTATCTGGCACTTCTATTGGAAGAGTTTGAAATAAAAAAAATTAATTTTGAAAGATCCATCATTTTAACTGACCCAATTTGACCCAGAATATTTCAATATTTCTTACCCAGATTTTCATTTCTTTTTAAAAAATGTTTCCACATTTGGATAAAATTATTATTAAACAGTTTGTTCATGTTTTCAGTGACAATAATTCCTTGATATTTGAAGGATTTGTATTTTAGGAGAGGTATGGAAGAACAGTGTGTGTGTGTGTGTGTGTGTGTGTGTGTATTTGCTTGTTGAAACTTATTTCTGAATAACCTAACATTTTTGTCAAATTCATAATATTTTTGTTTAAGAATACATTCTGGGTTGATATTTTGTCAGTTTCTAAAATATCAAGCTCTCCTTTTCCTTTCTAACTGCTTATATATATTAACCGAGCTTGTTCTATTATATTTTTTTCCATGAATCTTTAATTTCTGAAGATAATGTGTTCACCATCTCCTTAGATTTCTTCCTTATCCACTCCCCCTCCTTCCCCCGCCAATCCACTATTACAACATCCGTGACAGATGGGCATTCAGTCTGTTTATCACCTCCACTGAAGGAAAGTTCACCACCTCCCAAGGCGCAGTTCCACTGCTGAACAGCTTTTGCTATTAAATTCATGTCACATTTTTGGAAAACTCCATTTCAACCACTAGATGTAAAGTTCCACCTGCCTTCCACTGATGTGATTACTTTTTCTCAAGGTGCCTGGTACCTTCAATTCACTGACTTATTCCTCTCCATTGGACAAGATTAGGTCCAAAATAACCCTTAAGGTAATCATGAGGAAAGGGTTTTTACTTGTACTTTATCAGATTTGCGCTTCGTCTTCTTCTGTGCTTCACCTTCCCAGATGCCCCTGAAAACAAGAGAACTTTCTGGAATGCATGGACAGAGAAAGTCCATACAAGTACAATCTGTTCCAAGGCTGTCACCCCTTCCACCTCATTCCAGGTGGTGATTAACACCTCAGTTGAAATGTGCATCAGAGTCTCAGGAACAAGCCCAAGTTCTCTTTAAAACCCGAGGAGGTCTATCAGACACCTGGGCAAACTTAATTCTTCCTCCCTGTAGCAAGGAGCAGCTGCAGAAAACTCTAAGGCTACCAAAGAGTGATTTGACCATGACAAGGGAATGATGGTAACAACCCTCAACTTGAGATCAATGCCACTGCCCCAAGATAAAAACTAGGTGTAGTGTGTGATCACTGTTATTGGGGGGGGGGGGGTTTCCTGTGTGTGTGTGTGCCTTCAAGTCAGTGTTGACTCCTGGCAACCACCTAGACAAGTCCCTGAAGTTTTCTTGGCAAAGTTTTTTCAGAAGTGGTTTGCCACTGCCTCTATCCTAGGGCTGAGAGAGAGTGACTGGCCCAAGGTCACCTAGCTGGCTTTGTGCCTAAGGTGGGACTAGAACTCACGGTCTCCCAGTTTCTAGCCTGCTACCTTAATCACTACACCAAACTGGCTTTTTCTTTTCTTTTCTTTTCCCAAGCCGCTTCTGAACTCGTGCCCAGAGAAGAGGAAGTTGCTCAGTACTATCAGTTTGGGGAACTCCATTGCCAACCCAGCCACAGTCTCAAGCAGCTCAGATACGGAGGCTGCAACATAGCAGGAAGGCTGGTATAGTAACAGCAGTCCCATCTGACCCCTAGAGCCCAATCTCACTAGTAGAAACTCATAACCATTTAGCTATGGAGCAGTGCCTAAAAGCCACCAGGGTCTCTCAGATGCCAATAGCTACTCCCTGTCCGTGCACTGGGATTGGGCCACACTTAAAACCCAAGTCAGCATATTTCCAAGAGGGGATCCCTCTCTATCAGTTCATGGAAGAGGACGGCTTATTACATATCAACCTGACATTCAATAGCAAAACAGTCAAAGCCTGGGACACTGAAGGTCCAAAGGCTGGGAACTGGGCCTAAGCACAAGAGCTGGAATGCAGAATCTCTATAAGATGTCAAGATTGCCTTCCCTGACAGTAACTTGATCCATCTCCCACTGTATCTCCCTTGCCCATCACCATGGCGATATTACAGCCTGCCCCTACCCTCAACACACTAATCCTACCATGTCCTCTCTCCCTCCCAAAGGGACTCAACTCACACTCTGATCATATAACTATCCCCCAGCTGTCTAACCAGTTCTTTGGGACCTTCTACTCAGCACTCAGCATCTCTAGTCTCAACAGTCAGCCTACCTACCTCGTTAGTATCCATACACCAAAAGGATGCCACTCTCTGTCCTCCCTTTCAATCACTGGAGTAGCCTGAGGCCTAAATCATGTTCACAAGCAGTGAGCTGGGAAAACTGGAGAGTCACTATCACCCACCAGAGTAAACATTTACAGTCATCATCAGACCCTCAATCCTTACCACTAACCTATTTTCAGCACAGATCACAAGTTCTATATGTAACCACAGCTCATTTTTTGAACACACAGATGGCAAATTCTGGAACTGTGGAGTGTCGGAACAAATAATACACACTCCAGTTCCCCTTAGTCCCACTGCAGTATGTACCAGGCAAGATGGTACTACCAGCATGAAAGGTACTGCAACATTACAGCAGTCCTGCCCTCCAGTGAGTCATCACCTGCTCCTGTTGTCTCTCAGTACTATTTCCTGGGTGCTCACACTCTCCAGAACACCAAGTGAGGGTATCCCCAGATTGACACCATTGTTGCCTCTCAAGAAGACAAGAGGAATCCAGCCCAGCCAAATGTGCCACCACCATCTGGAAGAAAAATGTAGCTATCTCTATTGCTATCACAAGCACAAAACCAAATCTTCATCAGCTGAATGACAGCATCTCCAGCCCAACACTCTGTGCTGCCAGGCTTTGCTGCTGCTGCTGCTGCTGCTGTTACTTTCACCACAACTTCTCACCCAAAGGGAGTCTGAAGATCCTATGACTCCATACAGGCCCTTCTCACATACAAAAACCAAACTGAACAAGCTTTTTTCTAAAACTCCTATGTTTTGATCCCAACACACACACACACACAAACGGAAAACAAAAGGCCTGCAGATCTCTGAATGTTTTGTCATGCCTCATGATTTCCTGTATGATTCTATGCTGCAACTTGGAATGGTTTTGACAGAACCACAATCTTGGGAAGATTCACTATTGTTCCATGTTTCAAGACTGTCTCTGATTATGAATCAGTTGAGCCCCAGAGCTTTAGACATATTTTTTTGTAATCTTTTCCAGACTAGAAGACTTTTATAGAAGTCTTCAGAAATTTCATTTGAGCAGGACATGGTCTATAATCTATCTGATAAGAATCTCACTGTTAATGACATAAGCTAAAGTTTGTGAGATTTACAAAGGGCAGAGCTGGCCCATATCAGCACTGATTATTTAATGAAGTATCAAAACAGCTGACCATAGGTATCCCTTTAATTGAATTGCTTGAAGTTGGGGGGGAGAATGATACTGGCACATTTCATGTTGGATAACTTTGTCAGTAGGATCTACATGAAATTTTGATAACATTCAGGGCCAAAGATATGCACAAATTCAGGGAAACTGAAATGGGAAGAATATTTTTTAATGGAATGTATGCATGGGAACAGAAAATACCAACCAGTAATTCTCCATAAAAAGTGTACACAGAATAAGAGTTTCAGTTACAAATGTTGGTGTGGAAACACCATCAACTTTAGTTCAGGACTGGTTTATTAAACTAACATTATTTAAAACAACAAAAATTATTTTATCAAATTATGGTTCCCTTTGAAACCTTAATGAGAATAAAGTAAATTAAAATTCACTTAGGCAAGTATTAATATTATATAATGAATCCTTCTTGGAAAAAAAGTTAAATATCTTAAACATTTCAGCTTCACCACATATTAAAACTATGAACCTATTGTTCCTGAATGAGTATTCCAGGGATTACAAATACTGCAGACCTCCCCTCCACAGACAGGAAATGACTCATCAGTGATCCCTGCTTTTGACAAAATCTTTCCTGAGAAAAATAAATCTCAAGTTGTTTCATAATTTTTCTCCTCTTCCAATATTTCACACTGGCTGGTGTTTGCTGAGATAGCATAGGAAGTGGTAATTCCTATACTACAATTCCCCATCTCACCCTTATATTATTGCTGTTTTAAACATTAAAATTAATGCTATGAAACATCATCTTCAGTATACTGCATGAAGGAGCAAGTTTACCTTCAAGCAATTTCACCAATTATTACATACGATGCACTGAAATGTTTTATAAAAAGAAAAATTACAATAAGCAATAACAACTTATCAAAGGAGTAGGGTTTCTTTTAGCAAGTGCCTACAACAGCTCTCTTTGGTACCATTAAAAACCGTTTCTTCAACTAATTTTTTTTTTGACTCACAAAGGTTCTATATTTCCATAAATTAGCTAAAATGTAATCTTAATCAAGTTTCTTTTTATACCTTTCTTCCAGTTGGTTTCTCCACCATGGTGCTATCGCTGACAGAATTCTGAACTTGAACTGTCTTTGTTGACCCAAACCTGGGCATTTTATAGTTGTTCACTAAATTTATCTTGCATCAATATGCTCATTATGTATCTGCCAAGTAAAAAAAGAAAAAGAAATAAAAATAATCACCTGCATGTATGAAATTATTCAGCTACACAGATAAGAAATACACTGTTTATGGAATTGTTTAGATTTAGTAGTATAATTAAATTACATCAAGGCTCTTATAAACATAAATATAGTAGATATATGTTTCTGTTATCCTTATTCATCTGATAGAGATAATGACCTGAAAAACAACCCCCTGTGTTAATGGTGGAGATGAGGTGACTGGCATTCTCTCTGGCAATACTCAAAGAATTAGACTCAGTCCATGATCATTTTCAGCTGCTTAATAAAAATATTGGGGGTTAATGTAGCATCATAAACTATACACACATACATCCATATATTACTAACCAGCATGTACAGGTAGTCCTCGCTTAACGATTGCCTTGTTTAGTAACTGTTTGAAGTTACGACTGCACTGAAAAAATAACTTTAAGATTGATCCTCATACTTATGACCATTTCAGCGTTCCCGTGGTCACGTGATTGAGATTCAGGCACTTTGTGACTCCTGGGGAAGAAATGGCGGACTGTAGACAGCTCCAAAAAAAGTGGAGCTGACGACCGTGGCAGAATGAAAAGCCAGCAAGTAGATCAGCTCTTTGATAATTCCTCTCCGGACAATTAGAGGACTTGAGATTGCCCACAAGTGCTCCAGGCAGTTGCTCCTTGTGAAGAGAACACAAGACAGTGGTCTCCCAGGGGTTTAGAGCTCTGGGAGACAAGGGAATAGCCATGTTGCTCAAACCACTGGGTTCACATACTTCCTTTTCTAAGCACTTTCAGAAATTGCTTGCTAACTGCTTTTCAACTATTAGGAACCTTTGGATCAATAGGTTTTACAGCACTGGGTGAGTTTCCTTCAATCCTTAGTGAATGAAATTTTAAATACAAGTTTAAGGACTTAAAAAAATTTTTTTTTTTGGATTAAAAGGGTGATTAAAACTTTGATTTTAGAAAGTTACAAACAGACTAAGGGTCCAGATAAAT